CATATACATAGAAAAAATTAAACGACCCTCTTGGGTTTATTGTGCTACAAAAACAGTTGGCTTTCACTCTCGGCTCTCGAAATAAACAAGTCATTCTGGATTCTTATCAAAGCGAAATCTTTTGCTATACATTGAATCCTTTAACGTTTAAGCCAAGAGAATATAAACTCTCTTGCATTGACCAAGCTTGTTCGGTCAAGATGACTGGATATTAGCCTCTTTCTTTTTCTACTTTTTTTTGGACCGAGACTCCGCCAACGCAAAAAAAAAAATTCGGCCAATATCCAGCCATTTGACCTCACGCTTGGTCAATAAAGCATAGGAATATATATCATGCAGACCCATACAAATCTGGCAAGGGAAGACAGTACAAAAAATGCACTTCCGAGCCCGGAATTTGTCAGACGTATTGGTCAGTGGACTACCTTTTCCTTGTAACGCGGTTCATAAGGTATTAACTTCAGCACTGATCACACAAATATATCGTCAAAACCTGTTTCACTTAAGAGTGAGCCAATGATATAAAGAAAGCTCTTGGTCAGCGTTCTCATTGTTTTTGCGTCTGTCAATTTGATGCCAAAAGCACATCAGTATAAGGTTTTGTAGCCAATGCTTCTCAACCTACGTCTTTAGCATATAAAAAGACGCTGAGTACCATCAGCGAGTCCGCAATATGCCATGAATATTGGTCAGAGGATTCTTTGGTGCAACAGCTGTCACTTTAACATCTCAATGTGGATGTCTGCTATAACAACAGTGCACTAGCGCAGTTAAACGATTGCACTAGAGGCTTATTACATTTAGGACCGAACGTTATTACATCTAGGACTTAATTACATTTAGGACCAAATGTTATTACATTTAAGACTTTATTACATTTAGGACAGTTATTACATTTAGGACTTCAACAGAAGGGAACCCTTTTTGGCGAGTTACCTATTTCGAGATTTTCTACAGTGTCCCTCTGAGGGGCACAAATATGGCGGGCGGAAGCTAACAAAAACATAAGTTATCGAGTTTTCCTATAAAAAGCCTGTAGTCGTATTCTGAGGGCTTAAAACATCTATTTGAGTACTTATTCTCGTTCAGATTGCGAAATTTCAGCGGATAAGTCACTTTTTAACCTACGTCAAAGCATTATCGGCCGTCATTTGAACATTGTGTCACGCAAAAGCATAGAAATTTAACCTTGCTTTATCACAAGATAAAATCTAGTAATTTAATAAATTAATAAAATAAATAAATCAGCTGTTCTAATAGCTAACTAGACTAAAATATCAAAAGGATCAATAATTTCTCATTCTTTAATATTGATGACGTCACGTGAAAATCAAGAAACTGTTTGGGCTGCGGACTCATGTTTTCAATGACTTGGCAAATGCCTGAGGTAGTACTTGCTGAAAGTTTATATAATATCTAAAGTAGCATTATAAGCGCATGTATTCTCACATCCACTGGATTGACCCCAAGCCAGTACCAAACTGGACTCACTCGTTGTGGCCCCATTTTTTGAGCCAAATCAACTCTTTTCCTTTTACAGTGTATCCATAATTGCATGGCTATTGATAGTTGGCAAGTCAGGTATTTAATATGGTTGCCCCATTTGTCTTAGCACATATGTACCAATAATCAAACTGCTATAACTTCTAACTCTGTCTCAAACTAACTCATCTTATTAAAACTATGCAAATGTCATTTTTCTTCATAGAAATACGAAAGAAGAAAGAGTCATCCCAAGGATGAAAAGGAAACCCGCGCTTATCTTAAATTAACCAAGGAGCATATGTCGATGGACAAAGATGCCAACAGCAGTGAAGAGGAAGGGGGCTGGGTTTCAGGGCCCCCCCAGATACCAAGGCCAAGTACTGAATATCTTCTTTAAAAAGTAAGTAATACTTGAATACAAGAACAAGAGAGACACGAAATCGAAACACCTGAGTCGTGAAAGCTAACGATCAAAATAACAACAGGCGGTTTAGAACACGCAGCTAACCAACGATTCCTTGAAAACAGGGAAAAAAACCTTTTTATACGAAATTTGATATAATTGCTTTATTTCTGCAGGCTTGATAAGAGAATCCAAAGGGCAGAGAGCTCTGTCAACAAGAGGTGGCAGCGAACAAATTCAAAAGTAGGGGAGGAGACAGATAAGTAGCCACCAGTTGGAAGGCCAGGCTAGAGCAAGGAGAAGAGGAGGAGGAGGCACAGAGGTATATTAAATATTTAATGTACCTAACTATTGAAAAAGGTAAAAACAGCAAAAAATCTTGAAGAAGAAGCTATTTTATGTATATCTCTTTAAAAACAAGAAATGGTTATTTGGTACGAATGGGAAGTTATATATGTGACTGATGTATGACGGAGATGACCAAAACCTAGAGGAGGATTTGTTGTGCATTCTAACTAATAACGCTTTCGATTGAAATGTTCATATTTCAACAAATTAACCAAAGTTTTCTGTATCGTCGACAGGGACAATGATGTTGGACAAGATGAACAGGAAGACTCAGGAGACGTGCAAGAAGAACACGGACATGAGGAAGGCAGCTCAGGAGAAGAGATGGAGTAGCTGGCGGCAAATTGTTCGAAAATTGCGTTTAAGTTTCGTTCCTTTTGTTGTTGTTGTTGTTGTTGTTGTTGTTAATCATCATTATTTGAAAGAGCTGGAAATTAAGCTCGCTATAATGTAAATACAAGATTTTCTATCATAAAGCAGCGTTGCGTATATCAATGATATTGATTCGACATTTAACTGTATTCTGACTAAGGTTTGATTTCCGTTTTTCCTGCATTTCTTTGCCAAAGTTCCCAATGAGAGCCATGCGCATGGTGCCGTTGAATACAAATAAAATAGTTTCACTCGTGAGAACTTGTTTCTTTTCGTAATTTAACGTCTAAGCAGTATACTCCTTTTGTCATTTACAATGCACTTATTTCAACACCCTATACTCCTCAATTTGTCCCAAATTAAAGTTCAACGAATATTCCCGTTTTTCAGTCTGTTTCGATGTCATTTCGTCGATGCCCTGCTCTGAATGCAATGAACTCAAGCAAAAATATAGCAATCCGCATACTCCCTAGATATTCTCAGAATGCATTCGTCTTAATGTAGTGTCCGATATGTACATATGCTGCTTTGTACCCTTAGCTATAAGGAATTCCATATGGAGTATAACGATCCGTATATCTGCCGAGTACACATACCAGTATATTGCATGTCACACACAGTATTCATAATGTGTAATGGGATGAATACTGAACAATAAGGAATTATACCACATGTGTATACGGTCCTGGTATTTTCTTAGCATACCCTGACGTGTACTGATCATTATACGGACCTTACACATCCTTATATTTACCGTATACAATTTTGTATACTGACTGTATACGCCCCAAGGAAAGGTCCTTATACAGAGTATTTTAAGCGGTGTCAGAGATCAAATAACCAAATGGGATCAAACTAACTCTCACCAGGTATCTTATAAAATGAGAAGCATAATATTTCTTAGGCAAAACTGTGAAAATTAAAAATGGTGATCATTAGAAGCTTGTAATTGATAATGTAAATATCTTCGAGCCACGACAAAAAATAATAATAATAAACAGCCACGTGATCACGATCTTAACGTGTCGCAAACGAGGAATCCAATTGCAACATACTGAGGAATATTTGGGTAGGAAGTGTTTAGAGTATTACAGTTATCTATTAAACTTTTTGATGCGAGAGGATATTTATGCCAACGTCCATACTTAAATTAAAAAAATTTAGAAATTACACTATTTTTAGTTCCATGTTTTCCGCATGTAATTTTATTCCAGGTGTAATATGCATACCTAATTGGATTCTCTATAACTTATTCTACTTTTTCCATTGTTCGTGTATATGCTCTCTAAATCCTTTTCCTTTGTTCAGTACAAGTTGTTATTGAAGAATTTATTTTAATGATGTACTACAAAGTAAATAAGCTCTCTGCTTGATGAGGAAAGGAGAATGGACCATTAAATACTGAACTGCTGTTCAGTTGCCAAAAATGCTCAACTTTTACCGGGTTCAACAATAAACCAAGCGGAAAGTGATTGCATTCTTTGATCAAATATGGGTCATAACACTTCCTCCACCTCCCCTCTCCCCTCCCCTAACACAGCTATCATTATTTTTTTGTTCAATTTCCTCCCCTTTACCCCTTTACTGCCGCAAAATAAAAAATTAAAAAAGACAAGGTGAATTTATTTCATCAGCTCCGTCTTCGGGTTTATCGCGGCTGTAACTCGTAATCCTTTTTTTCTTTAAGGTTCCACATCGACGGCAGAATAGCTCACTGCTCACAAATTCTTTTCCACATTATAGTGGCAGAACATCGTAATACACTTGGTACAGTTTAGTCCGTTCGCGTAGTGACTCAAAGTCGACCTAGTGCAACCTTGTGCAACACAATGTGCTGTATCGTAACAAAGTGTCGACTACTGGCGCAAGTGCCACGTTATGGATCTATGAATTAAACCAAGATTTGAAATTGTGCCATCTCATCAACTTTTTTTTCACCACCTCAACTTTATTTTTCACCACCTCAGTATTTTCCTGGCACGACTTTAACTATTCGGCACGAATTTAACATTCCAATTTTAATCAGCTGGGCCGAGGGCCTTACATAATCTTGCGTATTTTCTTAGTTCTTGCACGATGTAAAGCTAAGTCTTTTACAGTTATCTCACAATAGTGTAAATACTTGACTTCGTTGTTTAATGTTTCTTTCACTTACTTAGTTAAATGACTGAAAATTCTAATTAAAACGCCCTGAATTTCCCATGGAGAGAAAATACTACTGGAAGTGTTTGAAAATATCAGAATCTAAACGGTCACCAGTTCTGTCCGAAAAGGCAACCCATGAACCATGTTCTAGGATTTGTTACCTCAAATATAAAATTCATAAAAAACAACTAGCACTTCTGAACCGCGTTGTTTTGAAAGGAAATTACACTAGGAAAGACACAGAGAAACACACATTAGTTTGTCAGTATAACATATCTCTTTTAATTTCGTTTTTTTTTTTCATTTCAGGCACTTCGTTTAACGTTTCTTCGATCGTCGAACGACTTCCCATCCTTCTTCCTCCTCATCTTGGTTCATCGATTGAACGGTTAATTGCTCTGCAAATAGAATTAAAAGGAAAATGGAATTATATATAACGTTAGTACATTGCTGCGAGGATCACCTAGGGCCCTAGCCATTTGAGGTGGGTTGATCCGAAGATTCTAGCGGAGCACAGTTTTCAGGGGCAAAGGAGAAGGGATCAGTCGTTGCAATAAGAACATTGGGGGGTGGGGGGGGGGGAAACTACAGAAAATTGACTTCCAACTAGGGAGGAACGTTAGTATATTACACATCCTTAGGGGTATCAGGTGAATTTTATTTTGGCACGACCGGAATACTCCGACCCACCTCCCCCCCCCCTTCCCATGATAAATGATGACCGGTCCCTTTACACAGCATACGTATGCTACACAAGGCTTACTACGCAAAATCAGGATTATTCACATCAATATGCGTACCCGTCGCTGTCGTCTCATTTCGAAAAAATGCTGCCCCAGTGAAATTAATATTATGATTAAATATGTGATGGGAATTAAATACTAGAAGGTCAGACTATTTGGACGCACCTAATTTCTCCATACAATTCACTGCTGCATCAAATAGCGATATAATGAGAATAAAAGACATTTTCGCTAAGGAAGCTCTCGATTGTCAAACAATTTATATTTACCAATACCACAGGAAAAGTGCGGTGAAAAGTACAGAGAACATGCATGCTGATGATAGAGAAAACGTTTGAAGTTGTCCTTCGGTAGCATGTTAATTAAAGGAACGATTCGGTTGAGACCCTGACGGCCACATTCCCTGAATATGCCGTAAAGAACGCTGGAATAATAAAGAAACGCTGTAGCTCTAAAGGCTTCACTCGAATCGTCCATTTGATGTTACATTGTAGAGGATAAAGCACTGTTTTCGTGGATTGGGGCCAGTCGGACGATTTTATTGAACCAGAGCAAAAGAAGGGAAATGTTTGTCGCCCAAATAATTCCAAATGGGAAAGCAACTTTAAGTTAGCAATATAAAGCTATCACAGAGATGTCGCCAAACATTTAAAAGAAGTAACGCACGAAAAATTAAAGGTGCCTTTACCTACTTTTCGCGATATTCAGTTGGTGCGACTGAAAGATTGTATGTAAACTAACATTGATGCATGTGAAGAATAAATACAAAAGTTCAATAAATAAAACAGGACTAATTGAGGATGAATATATTTTTTTACATAACTGATTCTGTTATTTACATTCTATCCCTAACACTTAATTACAGTTTGTGTTGAACTTAATTTTGCAGGCGTTTAGTAGAAATATGTTCGATGTTTGTTTGGTGAAATTGTAAATGAAACTGAATATTGCCATCAGCACGTTTCATGGAGATGTCTATAGCGCTCCAACGATAAATCACGAGTCGGAAGAAAAACGAAAATGAGCGACAGCGCTCCGAGTGAAGAAACCTCCTCACTCGTTCCGCGGCTTCGCTGTTCCCTTTCCAGCCAGCTGCACAGGCCATAGAGCTAAGACGAACACTTTACAAGCCTTTTTTTCTCTGTATACTCTTGTTACGGAAAGTAGAACGCGAATTTAACCTCGAGCTTAAATTCAGGGTATTTAATGAACATAAATGTATTTATAAATATCACGAACAGTTGTTCTTAAGACCTACATGTAACTGAATTATATAAATTTTAAAATTATAGATACGTTCATCTCGTTTGTAATAAATGTCGACAACTGGTAAGTAAAATAGCTAAATATTACTTCTACCACTGCTAAGAAAATTCACCGGTTGAAACAGGTAACTTGAATCAAGGTATTTACAGTGATGCGTGATGTTGTATAGTCCGCTTACAGTTACCTCTGCAAATTGTTCTATTTTCATTACTAGTGGTTGGTTCCTTTTCTGCCTTCCGGAAGGCAAAAAGAAGTTTAAAAAAAGATCAAAATTCACGTACATTATCTTCTTCAAGATGAAAGTAAACAATTAAAACTCAGAAAGTTTTGAAAAGGTCGTTATAAACTTTTTCTTCTTATATCCCAACTTTTCTCGATCTAATAACCACTGCTATGGGCTTTCATATTCCAAATGGTTGCTGCATAGCCTTTTAGAGGAGGCTGCGTTGATATCCGAGGCGGTAAGTAAAATGTTGTTTTAATTACGGGCATTAACTTGCGGTAATTTCTTTGGTCCGTGCAATAACCTGCACTTGCCGCGTAATTACTTATACCGAATAAATGTAACGAGTCTTTTTGCAGGAGGAAATAAAACAGTTTTCTTTTTAGTTTTAGCCATGCGAATATTAAACCGAATTTCATCTTTGTACTCACAAAGTGCAATAACGAACAAGAAGCGCACGGAGCATATTTTGCAAAAAAAAAATTATTAACTGCAAATTCAAACATTTCGAAGATTAACGCAAAATTAAATCGGTGGTTCAGAAACACTTAGTTTTCATTTGTTTTTGTTGAAAATTAATTAAAATCAATATAACAATAAATCAGTAGAATTTTGCAATTTTTTCGTCATTTCAACTTAGTGGAAAAGTTTCATTCAATTGACGAATGTAGCCGCTTTATTGGAACTCAGATGGTACAGCCATCAAGTGCTGATCCCAAATTAAATGGTTTATCGTGGGCTGCTCATTAAAGTACCATCCATTAAGAGCGGCCATAAATAGCGTAGACGACCATGGCATTTAACTTCCTTACTAACGCTGTCCAAAGAAAAATGCCAGGGGAAAACACCACGGAAAAACTCCTCCATCCGTCGGTAGAAGCGGCTGCAGTCTTCGCAGCAATAAACATCGCTTTCTCGGTCACTGCATCGCTAGGCAATGTTATCATCTTACTTGCTCTACACAAAGTGACTTCGATTCATTCTCCGACGAAAGTTTTGTTACAATGTCTGGTAGTGACTGACCTTTGTGTGGGACTTATTTCACAACCGTTGTATGCAACAAGCCTTGTCAACGCAGGAATAGCGAACTTCGACATGAACATTTTCCGTTACGTTACTAGACTAATTTTGCCAATGTCCGCTCTCGTCCTTTGTGGAGTATCTCTCGCGACGTCTGCTGCAATAAGTGTGGATAGACTTCTCGCGCTGTTTTTGGGGCTGAATTACAGATACGTTGCCACCTTGAGGCGAGTGCGCGGGGTCCTTGTTTGTATATGGTTTATAAATGGTACACTAGCTGTGTGTGCCTTTATTTCTCATATTTCAATTCATCTGTACAATTTGTGTCAGTTGATTTCTCTCGTGATCTCGGCTTTCTCTTACACCAACATCTACATCCGTCTCCGACACAAACTGCAGAACGTGCAGAACCATCCTCCAGAACAAATACCGGCTTCAAATAGTCTCGCGTCAACCGCATTAAATGTAGCACGATACAAGAAAACAGTCTCTACCATAGCATGGGTACAGCTCGGATTAATTTCTTGCTATCTTCCCATTTGTGTTGCTTCATTTCTTCAATATCGTGGCAAGTTTCGTCAAATCCCATTTATTCATTCATTCCTATCCTTACTTTACTTCAACTCGTCTCTAAATCCAATTCTTTTCTGTTGGAAGATCAGGGAAGTGAAACAGGCCGTGAAGGCCATAATAAGAAATTTAAACTGTTCATGCCGAACAAATTGAACTAGAATGAAAATTATTGACAGGAGGGGTCCAAACTTTTATTCACTAAACACAGAAGTTTTTATCTCTAGTTTTTTTTGTTTTAACACTGAAGCCTAAATAAGCCTAGAAATATTAACAACTTTCAAATACTTCAAGTTGAGTAACAATATGTGATCCTGTTCTTGGAAGGATTTTTTGGTTTTAGACAAGGAGGAAAATTACCCACAGGTCTGACGAGAGAGGGTTCTGGAACCTCCAGACCCTTCCCTGGATTCGCCACTGAGACAGAAAATCTCAAACTTGGTCCTCGACCCTGGCAGTATGCAGTACCTTTGTCACTCGTGTTCCTCGCAGTGGTCTGACTCACCATCGAGTCGTTTACTGTTCAGTCGTAGAACATAAGAAGGCGAAATCCAGAGATCAGAAATTCGATACCCTGTGGAGTTCTAAGATTTTACTTTATCGCACGCGCGTAGCAAATTAAATTTAGTAGCTGTACGTTTGGATGAACAGCTAGTGTGTCTGTTGGAATTTATACCAAGCTGTTCACGCTATTGCGTCAGCTCCAACTCTTTAACCCTTTAACTCCCACATCAAATTTGTAATTCCCCTTACTGTCAACAATACAATTCTTATAATGTTAGTTCAGAGAATTTAGTATTGGATCAATTAGTTATCCCCAAATTGATATTTTCTTTATTCTCATCACTTAGCTGGTTGATTTTGTATTGATATTGTAAGGAGAAATTCTGTCTCAGCCATTCATGGGAGTTAAATGATTAAGACATTAGCAATGAATTTGCTTAATATATAAAACAAAACCCTGTCTTAAAGGTGTTGTCTTATAACGAAACAGGCTCTCATTTTTTTTTTTTACAATAATATTTCAGGTGTATTTGGTGACAGATTTGAATCAGGTTAAGAAATTTTGGGTATTAGTATACCAGATACTTTTGCCCAAGTATTTTGGAAATTTGGTCAAAAATCTAAGTTTAAATGGTGGAAAAAATGTTAAACTTTTTAGTTTTTACCATCATAGGCAATGATGAAAAAAAAAAAGCAAACAAACCAAGCACTGAGAAGAAAAGTTAATCAATCCTTTTACTTCCAAGATCTCATTAGTAATTCTCCTTACTGTCTGCCATACAATTCTCATGATGTTGATTCAGAGAATTTGGTATTGGATCAACTAATAATCTCCAAATTGATATTTTTCTTTATTCTTATCACTTGCCTGCTTGATATTGTATTGATAGTGTAAGGAGAAATTCTGTCTTGGTCACTAATTGAAGTTACATGTAAAGGGTCAATGGTTTACAATTAGGATGAAAATAAGACTGAATTCAATTAAGCTATACTTACCACTAGACACCTCATTTCCTGTTGCTCCTGTTTGTGAGCAGCTGGGCTGACATTGTGCACTATTCTCTGAGATGTTAAGTCCATTAAATTGCTGATTGATGGTTGAACTGTTTGATCTGTCATCCTTAAACATACACAGAAGTTTTAGTGTGCTTTGTGACAAGGTCATGCCCACAAGTTGGATCATATCCTACTTTCTAAGGCATTACACATAAAACTTTGTCCTGTCTGGGATACTGATAAGTTATGGATTATACTCTCCAACTCTCTCATCCCCATCTATCATTCCCCTTCCATCCAACCACACCCTGTCCACCAAGAATTTTAAGGTAGAGTGTGCTGTAGAACCATGCAGCCCATCCAAAAGGCTGTTATCACTGTTTTTGTAGCATGAAGTTGCTAGGACTGTTGCTTCTCCCCTAAGTTGGGATGTCAGTATATAGATAATTCTGGTAATTTAGTGTTAACAACTGAGTTGAAAAAGTAAATTGGCCACCATAATGAGTTTAAAGGCTGGCATTTCGAGCGTTAGCCCTTTATCAGAGTGATTGGACAGTCATTCTAACAAAGGGCTATTGCTCGAAACATCAGCCTATAAACTCTTTACAGTGGCCAATTTAAACTCTTCACAGTGGCCAATTTACATATTCAACTCAGTTGTTAAAACTAAATTACCCTGTTATACTCTCTCACTGACGCAACACCACAGTTTCTTCAGCTTCCCTGATTATTTGCAAGTACCCATTTATCCTTGTGGATAGAGAGGGGCAGAATGAGGGTAAAGTTTATCGCTCAAGCACACAACACAATGAAATTACATGGCAATTTGTTTTTCTTCTAAGTTTAGCCACCATTACCTTGTGATAACCATTACAGGGAACTTCGGTACCCCTCAATTGTTCCTCATCATTGTCATCATCATCACTATCACTATGAGCTGCTGATGCTTTGCTTTTGACTGCAGGTGTAAACTTTTTTACAGGAGCTGAGCTTATTTGCTGTTGCATCTGCAGTAATTTTCCTTCCTTCCATAGTCTGTGAAATTCACATAATTTTTGTGCAACCTGCCCCACAAATGGAGTAGAATATAATAATAAAACATGAACCTCTAAGATTATTGTTTTAAATCATGCCCATGAAAAGGAGAGAAAAATTTCAATTTTGTAAATTATGCAATCACATGATGCAGCCTTTCAAATTTCCAGTTGCTGCCAAAAAATCTTCTCAGAAAATTGTTTGAGGTGTATTGCCTCCACAACAAGTCCCTGTGCCTCACTTTCCTCCTGTGATCACTTGCACAAATTCAAACAAGTTTAAATTTAACAAAGACTGTCTGCATCACACAAGGCACATTTCTACTGCCACCTGCCTTTAGGATAAGTTGCTGCAACTTGATGCTTTACCTGTTCTGATCTTATAAAGAGCAACTCTATTACATGTAATAGCCCAAATTAAAGAGTAAACTTATACAGAGTTTTCTTTTGAAGCTTTCAGATCTGCAGTCAGATTTCACACTAACCCTGGGTTATTTTATCCAGCTTTGAACACCCTGGCCCAGATTTATTCTCTCAGAGCAGAGTTTAATAAGTTTGGCAGTAACTATTCAATTCTTACCTTTGATAAACTACCATCTTCCACCATAGTGTCAAATTCATTAAACAATATCTCCTCAATGTAATCCTCTAACTCATAGTTTTCTATGGTATCTGTAACAAATAAAAACATTAATAATAGCATTTAAATATCTGAAATCACCCCAATCAAAAAAGATGACCTGCTGCAAGCTATAGAAACTGAAACTTGTCCCCTGAATTAGCACTTTTTCTCTCTTATGCTCCACTGTAAATAATTCACCACAAAAGACAAAATGTCACAGGATTTTGATTTCTTTTTTAGTTGGCTAACCGGGGTAATATCCAAGCCATATTGGGATAGTCCATGTAATTGGACAGTGTTATTGGATATACTGGTCAAAATTCCTGAAATGCTTGTTTTATTTAATGTTCATTCGTGTTTCTCGAATTTTCTTGTGGGGAGAAGGTGGTATTATCCTCATTTCGTGGCCAAATTTTGCGTACATCCCCTCTAATGTCATCGCCTTTTAGTCCAGTTAACTAGGAAAAGCGTCACCTTCTGGGTGATAAAAAATTCAAATATATAAATAAACAAGCACAGAGGAAAATATCAATTCCCCTCCCTTTAACTCCTCGTACCCTTCTATTAACAATACTTCAGTTTATCCTACTACTTCAAGATCCCAAATTTTCATAATCACACCAGTAGACAACACTCAGTCTTATCACGTGCAATTAAACTATACATAGAAAGCAACGCTTGTACATTGGACGAGAAAGCAGAAACTTTAGTCAAGATCTCAATCGTATTGTTAAAACCTTATACAAAATGGTCACCCTCAACGGTCTCTAGCCGGTGATTACATTCAAAAGCATTAAACATGCTATAATAACTACACAAAGAAATTTTATCGAACAAGTTCGAATCCATCTTTCCAGGAAAGACAAACTTCTATACATACTGTTATCTCGCAACACTTGGTTTACAACATCTACCATCCATTTTGCTTTTTCTGTAGTATCTGTCCCTCCAAAACTATTTTCAACAGCGAGTTGTAAAACTGACCAATTGCTTAGGACAAACTGTACCGAACCAAGCAAAATATCGGAGTTTTCTTCCGCCATCTTGGATTTCGTAATAAGTTTTCGGTTGATACCGCTGTATGTTGATGCTGAGGACGCACCTAAACTTTCGATTCCAGTTTCTCTCGCTCAAATACCTTCACCAGGAAAGTACGAAGTGTTGATTTTTCTCTGTCAGTGAAACAGATCCCTACCAGGAAAAAGGAAATCTGAACATCCTCAATCAACTTTTATAAACCTATTAGCTCATAAGGGATGCCGCTCGAACAATAGCGTAGCCAGGGAGGACTGAGGGTGGATCTTTTCTCGGACGCTTTCGTCGGGACATTTCCGCCTAATTTCGGCTGGCTTCGTCCGATTTCGGACGCTTCCGTTTGATGTGGGACGGTTTTCGGCTGATGTCGGAGATCTTACGTCTGATCTAAGCTATACTGGTGATTATAAGAAGCTGATCGCAAATACGCTTTCGCTATCAGACAAGCACTGTCCTTTATGTCAGTGGTTTTTGTACGATATGAAAATTAATGAGAGGGGTATTAGATAAATAAAACTCTTTCTTACATGTCGACTAATGATTTCCTTGACTGAGAGATTGTCCTCAAAATTTCCTATTTGCCCTCAAACCTTTGCTTCTCGGTCAAATGTTCATTTTTCGGACAATCTCGTCTACATATGTTATCAGCCGACATACCAGCCGCCTGAAGGGATTTATTTACTAAATATGCTGATTGTAATTCAGTTTTAGAAATGGGAGTCGTTGAACTCATTTCTCAATTAAAGACAAGTAAGGCTACAATCAAGGTTACCTCCAAGAAACCGTATTGTTGCCATGGTAATCTTTATAACCAAAGATAGTCGTTTCCAACCCATGACAATCTTCTCCGTCATGAACAGTACTTACTCCATTTTCTCAACCCCTACATGTACCTCTTTCGTCGTCGTTTTTCTTTCTTTTTGAGCAAAAACTCACCTTTTAATAAATAGTCAAATATTTACTGAATATTTGTAATATAACGTCGATAACATGCATAAAAAGAGTAAGGCTATTCGGTAATTGCCTACACCGTAGGTATTCTATAGAGCGAATTTCGGCGTTGGAGATAATTCGCTCAGTTCCAAACCCAGAATTCCCAGAAATCAATAATCTTAATTATCTACAAGAAAGACAATATTCTCTTTCACACCGATTGTTTTAAAATGAGATTTCAGAGCTCGTGGTGTTTTTCACTTGATTCATTGACGGCTTTCTATAAAAAAAGACAATAAACAGCTTTTGACGTGAGCAAGAATTCTTAAACGCGTAAATTAAAAGCGTCTCTCCTTCTAAAACAACGTCTTTTTATCACCCGGATTCGAGCAAGAATGTTCCTAATTTTCAACTTCACGAGCTTTCAATAATTAGCCAACAAAGTTGACTTATCTTCAAAGGATTTACGTCACAGTTTGCGAACATTTTGTTAATCTTCACCAACCTTGACCGTCTTTGTTTACCGTTGTTTATGTAATTTCCACTGGTATGTTTACATCTATCATGTCATGCAATAAAGTTCTGGAACATAAAAGTTCAGTCTCAAAACCTTTCTCCTTTATGGCAAAGTTTCTAAGTTTATCCTCTTAGGGTTACTACGCAACCACTTGATAAGGAGTGAAAATAAGGTTTCCAGCAGAGTAGAACTTCGTTGTTGTTGCATGACTAGTTATCAAACAAGAGGCCCGCAAAAGACATTTACGCCAAAGACCGGCACTTCATTACATTCTTCTCTCCTGTTGTACTTCGACTGTAGCTGGAGGAATACTATAATACTAAAAATAAAGTAATATTAATAATAGTATATGGTAGATTTAAAGTAAAAAGCAAAAGTTTCCCTCAATACTGATACGCTTCTTTGATTTCATGAAAGTCAAAATAGATACGCCTCATTTAAGTGTTGACAGATATATGCCTTCGTCGGCATACGTTACAGCAAACACTTTCGACTCATTTGAACTTCGTTGCGGGTGGGTGGATAGAGTGTGATTCTGCGACTCCCGAAGCTGTCTGAGTCCTTCATCAAACTGAAGGTAAAGTAATTAAATTGTTTTATCTCTCAACTATTCTCCCTCTTCTTAGAGCACAACTGTGCACCGACGAGTTTTTTGACTTTCAGATTTCAAACAATTCTAGCTCTTATTTTGCCAGAGGGTACTTCCCAGCCCTTATCTTTCTCAGTTTTACTTAAAAATGAAATATGGTGTTCCACTATCTCACAAACGCGGCGCATAAGATTCCTTCCTACACTAATCTCCTCAAAACGAATCCTTTTTTTTTCCCTGACGGAAAATAGGTTAAATTGTAATAAGTCGCTTGCGGGCTTCTTGATCGATATCTATTGTCATGCAACAAAAATTATGCATTAGTTCTAGTTTACGCGAAACTCCACATTTACTCTCTAATAACAACTCGAGACAGAGGATAAAATGCCGTTGTTTTAGGCGAATTTGAGTCATTTTCACCGTACAGAAAAACTGTCTCGAATAGAAGGAAACATGAAAAGAGACTATAAAAGACAGAGATGGTCAAGAGTAATGAAGACAAATGTTCACAAACTTTCAAGCAAATACATCGCGCACAATTAGTTTAAAGGCATCGCTTGAGAGATTTCGCCGTAGCTTATAGGGGGAAAAATCGACGATATTCCTCAAGTCCTATTTAACATTCTGAAAACCGAGTGTCCTACGTTTTGACAGCCTCTCTAACATTTCTTTAAACCCTAAACTGTTCACTTGTCTGGACAAGTGCATGTAATGTGGGAAAACAAATAAACTCTTAAACTTGCGCGACAAATGGAAGCTACTGATAATGCTGCTGTTGTTGCTGTTTTATCTTTATTAAAAGTAAATTTTAAAGAAACAATGCAAAATTTCGCCCACTGGCGACAGTTGAACAAGAGAAAAAAAAATCAAAAATAAATAACTAAAACTCCTCCTGATATGGATACACTCCGTTGATTTAATGACACTCGGACCTACCTTACGCCCCTTTAAAGTGTTAAACAGATGAAAGCCTACGACTGCATATATTTAAGCACACAGCTTTGACTCATCTAAACATCTTTTCAGCTAACCCAATAAAGTGTGAAGCTAAGACCCCAGGAACTCCCTGAATTCCCAATTCCACTAAATATTAGTAATTAAAAATGTTCTATGCCCGTACCAGTTTTCCTCTCACAAAAGCGCCGCTTTGTTCCAACGAGTTCTTAGACTTTCAATCCTCAAACATCTCTCGAACAATGCCAGAGAGTAGTTACTAGGCCAGTAGAAACGCTCACCGGGCTTAACCGTAAAAATATATTTTCCTTTGACACTTTCAGGGTTACGAAGAAATGAAAACAGTTGGATACCAGAAATTATCCATCGATGGCGATTCGGAAAGAATCGGTTACGTTTCTTTTCTTTTATTCCAATGGATGAATAGCATCTTCGAGAAAGGTAGCAAAGGAAGGATAGATGAGAGCGACTTTGAACCACTTTCAAGGGAAAACACCACCGAGGTTTTCACCAATCGCCTCCAAACATGCTGGGATGAAGAAAAAGCTGCTACAAAAGGCAGTGAACAAAGACCACAACTTTGGAGAAGTGTCATAAAAATGATCTATTTGAAGGATGCAGTGATTACTGTGCTCCTTTACTTGGCATCCTTACTTTGGCGCCTCTCTAGGCCTTTGTTTCTTGGTTACCTTGTTTCTTCATTAATGGAGACTGAGCCCCATAAAAGTTTTCTTTTGTATGGTTTTGTAACGGCTATGGGGATCTGTGCCTATATTGGGGCGACAGCTATTCATCACTATGCCTATCGATGTGATATGTACGGTATCGGAATAGGCAGTGCTCTGAAAGGACTAATTTACCAAAAGGTATGCAATTAAGCTTTTTATAAAATTTTTCTGCCCTGATATTACACACATGACGAACCACGAGTCCTAACGTATTTGACTAGCCAGCGTCATGTTTTGACAGGATCTTCCGTCAAGGTTAGTTACAAGACAGAATTCTATACAATGATTGCAAGAGTTGAGGTCAACGGCTCAAAATAATCCTGCAGTTAACTCAGTAAATGATCATGGGTGCTCTCTTTCCTGTTATCATTTGTCACCAGCATGCAGTACAAAACGATTCTGACTCCCTTCCGAATTAGGCTGTCCAATTCCCTACCCCGAATTAAGCTACCGAGAACTTGTGGCTGAGTTGTGCCGTAAACTAGGTTCACGAATGTATGGTTTACCTCACGTACAAGTTCTCCTTAGCCCAGCCATGGAGCATAAAAAAATTAGAAGATTTGAAGGTAGAATTATCAAACAAGTACCAGAAGTTCTCTTCGTATCACACTTACTGACAAATCAAAAATATTTCTCAAATAAACGGGTACATTTCCCAATAATTAGCGACTATGAGCTCGAAAGGCTGAAAACAGCTTGTATTTTCAGGTTCTAATGCTCAACAAAACTGAGTTACTGAAATTTACAACGGGCCGTGTGATTGACCTCGTATCCAACGATGTTCAGCGACTCGAAGATCACGCTGTGATGATGGGCTTTAGTGCTTTTTTGGATTTCTTCCTACTCCTACCTATTATAGTGGTATTACTTGTGTATTTCATCGGTTGGCAAGCTCTCATGGGGGTCACATGCCTTGTTTTGCTCATACCATATTTCGCTGGGTTGTCCTACGTCTTTGCTGTACTGCGCCTGAGGACAACAGCGTTTTCAGACAGCCGCATATCTTTTTTGAACCAGGTTATTTCTGGGATTCGCGCCATCAAAACACATGCATTGGAAGATGAATTTCGAGAAAAAATTAAACACGTAAGAAGGTAAGGAAACAACCGGTCATAATTCATCTCATGTCGGTAGAGATACCTGGCACTTGTCATAGACCATTACTTGACTGAAACCGCTCACAAAATTAAGAAAATTACAATAAAGATTTCTATGCCATGCCAATCCACACCATGCTATAGGATGTGATGCCATGCTGTTATGACATTAAATCTCTAAATTCTTTTGTTCGCAGGGGTGAAATTAATATCATCCGTAAAAAGAGCGTTGTCCTTTCAACGATTGCCGCCTTGGAGTACACTGCAGTGCCGCTGGCGATGCTGGTGTCAATCATAACCTTGGTGCTTACCGGTCAGCCCCTTACACCGGTCAATGTATTCATGCTTCTCTCTTTTATAAATGCAGCAAGAATGAGTGTCTGCTTTTACATACCTTATGGTCTCTTAGCAGTATATGAGGCTTATTTTTCACTCAAGAGAATCGAGGAGTTTCTTCTTCTAGAAGATTTACCCGGTTCGTGTCATGATCACTCGATAGAAGGCACTTTAAACATGAGCGGGAGCACATTTTCTTTTGATGATAAAAAACATCTCCCAGAGCCAGGTACCCTAGTAGTGTCAATTTTGGCATCAAAAGAAAAGATAAGTGCTGACCAGTTCACTTTGCAAGATATAGAGTTTTCAACCGAGCCACAAACTTTAACAGTCATCACAGGTCCAGTGGGTAGTGGAAAATCTACTCTCCTCTCAGCTATTGCGGGTGAGGTGCCAGTCTCAGAAGGAACAATATCCTGGTCATCTTCCCTTGTTTATGTGCCCCAGACACCCTGGGTCTTCTCTGGAACAATAAGAGAAAACATTTTATTCGGTCAACCTTACAACCAAGACAAATATTCTACAATCCTGGAAGCCTGTTCTCTTACAGAAGATGTCAGAAGGTTTCCTAACGCTGACTTAGCAGTTGTAGGTGAACGAGGTGCCGTTCTGAGTGGAGGTCAGCGTGCAAGAGTAAGCTTAGCACGTGCAGTATACATGGATGCAGACCTGTACCTGTTGGATGACCCTCTGAGTGCCGTAGACATAAAAGTGAGTCAACATATCTTTGAAAAGTGCATTAAAGGTTTACTAAGTAACAAAACCCGAGTGTTGACGTCTCACCAGGAACAACACATGAAACAAGCTGATAAAATTATCGTGTTGTACAAAGGACGTGTGCTGGCAAATGGAGGTTTTTCTGAGCTTCAGGAAAAAGGTTTATTCAATATAAATCCTTATCCGAGTTCGAACAAACCCGTCAGGAACAGCGAGTCCGAGGTGAAATCTGTTTTTGAAAATGAAGATGAATCAAAATTTAAAGATAGAGCAGTGATTCTACATAATCAAGTCAATGACCTGGATCAATCAGAAGAAGACCGCACGATCGGAAGCGTGACACTTATGACTTATTGGGACTACTTCAGAAGTGGATTGCACTCGTCGGCGATATTTGGACTTTTCTGTTTGTTTTTCATCACTCAAGGTGAGTTCGAAAATTGAGGTTATGCAATTCTCAAATTCCTCCTTTAGAAGAAGGATAGCCTTTATACCTAGCAAGCACTGATTTTCCATCTGTACATTTTTGTGTCATCGTGGCAAAGTTAATGATTTACAAGTTGTCTGTTTTCTATTCTTGCTGCGGTGCGATTAAATCATGATATTCCTAGAGAGGTTGGAAACGGGATTCTTATGCATGTAATCATCTACGGAGTTTATTATCACATCAAAGAAATATGATGAGGGCTATGATCATTTTTACACTTTTAATCTAATCAGAGGTAACAAGGTCTAACGGTGCATTGCTTCGGGCCAAACATGTGAAGCAGTAGGAGTAGGCCTGCTGAAATCCCACCGTACAATATTCTCCTGCCTTGCGCCACTCACCCACATTACGCAACCATTATTTGTAAGAGGGAACGTGCCTACGAGAGTGAGAATAATACCCATAGCTTCCACAATCTCCTCTGGATGCGTATTTATTTACCTTAATTTTTTTTGCTTGTTTTTCATAGTAATGATCGTTTCTCCTGACGTTTGGCTCTTATTCTTAACAAAGAAGAGTCAAGAAGAACAGAAGTACACAATGAACCTAGTTTTCTATGGCTGTCTTGTGCTTGGATCACTCGTTTCCTCTTCTATCCGCGCATATACATTTCTTTGGACCTCTTTAAGATGTTCCGAACGCCTTCATGATAAAATGGTTGTAGCTCTCCTAGAAGCACCTGTTTTGTTTTTTGACTCAAACCCTGTTGGAAGAATTCTTAATCGGTTCTCTAAAGACGTGGGGTGCTTGGACGAACTGTTGCCAAAAAATTTTCTTCTATCTATTCAGTTGGTCTTGCTAGTGATTGCCGCAACTCTTGTGCCAACTTTCACCAACTTTTGGGTTCTTTTTGTTGTTGTGCCACTGGCCGTTGTTGTTGCTTACATCTCCATGTACAGCCTAAAAACCTCTCGGCAGCTCAAAAGGTTAGAGTCAATAAACCGTAGCCCTGTGTATTCACACGTTTCGGAGACTCTCAATGGGCTGGAGACTATAAGAACAAGAAGGAGGCAACAAGACTTCGTGGAAGAGCTCTACAGGTACGTTCAATGTTGAAGTAATTGTAATCATTGAGATCAGTATAATAGCTTTTAACTCAGCAAGCCTCTTTGACAACTACATGTGCTTCTTAAAATATGTAAAGTAGGTGACTTAAGACGGACAGGTAACTACGGTAAGCTGATGGGAGGGCTCGTCGTGGTGAGCCAAGCCATACATAAAAAAAGACATAGTCGTATATAACTAGCAGTCTTAGCGGAATTTTTTTTTCCGGAGTAAAAGAGATAATGATGAGATGTCCCCGAGATTGCACTTTGGAAGGTTTTTTTTTTTAAGAACTGTAACACATCAGACTTGAAAGAGTAAATTGTAAGAAAATCAAATATAAGGTAAACAAAAAAAAATACAGAAAAATGAAGAAGGTTTGAGGTGTTCTAATGATAACTGGGCAAAGAACTCCTTTGGAATCAGGCTGCCTGAAATATTTCATCTTAAAGTATCACTTAAGATCATTTAAATAGACAATTTTTCTTCTCTCCATTCAGATATCAAGATATTCATATCCAGTCGTTCACCATGGTGCTGGCGAGTGTGAGATGGCTTGGAGTACGAATGACCTCTATGATCTCTTTTTTGATTTTTGCGGTGGCTCTAACCGCAATCCTTGTGTCTCAAGATGCTGGTATGTATCTGTTAGCTGTAACGGAGGCTGTGCTCCAAAATTAAAAGCATTTCTCTCCTGAATTAAATTCACCGTGTTTCGGTGTTTTATGCTTAACTGAACAGCTCAAAAATCATCTTTACATGTACTTACAATATTATCACAGACGCCACCATGTTAAAAACAACACAACAATAACAACAGCTTTGTAACCATGCCCATTGGCCCTGACGCACGACGCTCAGTTAAAATGGCAAGAACCAATAGACCCAAACTGCTGGTGTCTAACTTTGTCGGCGCTCGAATTAGAATTAATAAGATTTCGGTGCAGCAATGTTGTGAGTTGATGGCTGTTGCACCAGAGGCAAGCGACCTAGGTGCTAAGCAATGTTAGAAGCAGCTGAACAGTGTAAGCAGTACATGAATTAGAATTTTTAGAATAATGAGGACAGATTTATACAGTTTACTTAACCCTTTGTAACCTCACAACGTAGCCATTATAAAAATGGTGCAAAGACTATGATGAAATAGTCTATAGAGCTCACTCGCCCCATTAGTTTTCTTACTTGTATCTGCGTATAACTGACGTAAATTAAACTTTCTAATTGAATAAGTTTCGTTTGGAAAGTCTGCTCCATTTGCACCAGAATCCTTAATTTTTTTTTTATCAAAGTAAACTGGACACTAACATCATTTCCATGTTCTTTATATGTAATTTGTATGTGCTGCTTCTTGTCGTTTCCCTCTTTTCACACGGTATATGGAATTTACCATTTATTTTGTCACTTAAAGGGTTTTCCTCCTTAACCATAAAATTTCTCTTTAATTCCACTTACTTGTTAAGAGCTTCGTCTCCTACGATTAAGAAGCATTTCAAATAGATTTCGAAATTACTTGCCTAACTCTTCCCTGAATTATAGTCCACTTGCATTAATTATCATATCCTATTTATTAACATACTTACTCAAAACCATTATTGACCAGGTAGAAAAACCCTTCAAGCTGATTTGATCAAAAATTCTCTCTCTCGCACATCGAATAAAAGATCATTTGATGCTGAGAGACTGTAAAGGTTACATCGAAAAATTTTCTTTCTTTGTTTTCTCCTTTCGTCTTTCTTTTTTCTTTACGTGTTGTATCTACCACAATATATCGGTCAATCCTCATAAGACTATTGATCTGGAAGGCTATCCTTTGATCAATGTATTTTATCAACAGCTTTCGCCGGACTGGGGCTTGTTTACGTCATCGAGACTGTTGAACTGATGGATTTTGCTGTTACAAGTATATCGGAAGTAGAAAATCTCATGACGTCTGCTGAACGAGTTATAACATACACCAAACTTGACCATGAGCCCGGGTACCAAGTGAAGCAGCCTCCCCCGAACAATTGGCCTCTTGAAGGGAATATCACTTTTGAAGACGTGTCGCTGACTTATTATCCTAGGGGGCCTCAAGTACTGAAGAACTTTAATCTTCATGTAGAAGGAGGAACAAGTATTGCTGTTGTGGGACGAACGGGGGCCGGCAAGTCATCTCTAGTGGCAGCTCTTCTGCGTATGCCAGATGCCCAAGGTGCCATAATGATTGATGACGTTCCAATAAAGGAGATCAACCTTCAAAAGGCTCGAAGATGTATATCAGTTCTAAGCCAAAGTCCTTTCCTTTTCAGTGGATCGTTGAGAGAAAATCTTGGTCTCGTAGTGCAGTTCCAGGATGTAGAGTTATGGCGAGCCTTAGAGATTGTTCAAATGAAAGAGCTGGTGGAAAGTTTGGAAGGGAAATTAGATCACCAGTTGTTGGAGCATGGTGCAAACTTCAGTGTAGGAGAACGGCAGTTAATTTGTTTGGCTCGTGTTCTTTTGCATAAAAGAAAAATTGTCATCCTAGATGAACCCACTGCACACGTGGATCCAGACACAGAACAAACAATTTGGAGGATAGTGCGAGAGAAACTGAAGGGCTCCACAGTAATCACCATAGCTCATCGACTGAACACCATCAAAGACTGTGACTTGATTTTGGTCATGAAAGATGGCGAGATAGATGAGTCCAACAAGTTTGACTCCTACTTGAATGCATGAACATGTTAAGATGACTAACAAATGAAAAACTACGATCATCGCTAGAATAATTAAGTACAATGAATCCATCTTATAGTATCAAGAATTGAAAGCCTAAAGTTTCTCAGTTACAAGATTGAAGTATTTCAAGCTTTCAAGTATCAAAAATTCAAGCACTAGCCCTTTAATGTCCTTTTTGCTCTCCCCATGGGCACACTTTGTATCATTGAAGGCCGGTTGAAGTGCACTTTTTGCTCTTAATTTCAGGAGGCTCCATATGGTTTTTGTCCGCAAAAGATCTGGACACGAACATAACGGGAGCTTAAAAAATGTTAACAAGCAAAACAAGCATTACTTTTGCTAGCGATGTTTTGTTCCTGTATTTACTTTTACAAATCAAATCCAAGTGTTGATTTCAATCCAGAAAGACTAGAAATTTTTAGGAAACCTTTTTTCACCACCCTGAACTCTTACCTTGGGGTAATCATTATATCACGAATTAGTTTAGAAAATCTATAATCCATATATCTATCTACGAGACAAGTATGCTTGTTTCAAAGACAGAAGAAACGATCGCTAAGTGAAACGAGCCGCTTCATATTTTTTTTTCTTTTCCCTTTAAGATACCGGTGTGTAATAGAAATTCATTGTTTCGTTCACTTGCTGTTTATATTTAATAATTAATTAAATATAATTAACGGTCTCAAAAGCATTTTTACTTGTTAAATGTTTAATGATTAGTTTCATATTTCTCGCCGAATTTTAATACTTTTAACAGTTAGATTGTACGAATGAAGTTATTAATCAAGGGTGCTCGATGTGTGTAACCTTTTTTTTCTATTTACCTAACATCCGTTTATTTTCGTCGAAAAGAAACAAAACCAGCTAAAGAGTCACACCCATTATTTTACACGAAGTAAAAGCAAGGTCGTTTTGTAGAGTTTAGTGACTCTGGTGATTATGAAAAGCTGATCGCAAATACGCTTCTGCTATCAGATAAGCATCGTCTTTTATGTAAGCGGTTTTCGTGCGATATGAAAACTTATGGGAGGGATATCAGATAAATAAAACCCTTTCTGGCTTGCTGATGTGTCGGTTGATAATATACTTGACTGAGAGGATGTCCTCAAAGTTTCCAAGCTTTGCTTCTCGGCCAAATATTCATTTTCCGAACAATCTCTCGTCCACGAACATTATCAGCCGATATACCAGCAGTCTGAAGGGATTTATTTACTAAATATACTAATTTCAGCTCAATTTTAGAAATGGGAGTCACCTAGTTCATTTTTGAGTTACAGCCAACTAAAGCTACAATCAAGCTTACCTCCAAGAAACCGTATTGCTGCCATGGTAATCTTTATAGCCAAAGTTAGTCGTTTCCAAGTCATGATAATTCTCTCCATCATGCTAGCGTGAAGTTATTTCGGCTTTCTACAAATAAAGAAAATAAAGACAATAAACAGCTTTTGTTCTAAGCACGAATTTTTTAACGCGTAAATTAAAAGTGTCTCTTCTTCTGGAACAACAACAAAACTTTCCTCTGAGTTTCAGAGAATTTTAATTGCAAGGCTTTCATCGCACCGAACGCGTACAATAGACCTTCGCGTACAGGTCGTTACGGGGGTCCAAATAATTTCCCTCAGTTTCAATTCAAGCAAGAATGTGCGTAATCTTCTACTTGACGAGGTTTTAATAATTAGCCAACAAAGTTGACTTATCTTGAAAGGATTTACGTCACAGTTTGTGAACATTTTGTTAATTTTCACTAACCTTGACCGTCTTTGTTTACCGTTGCCTCTTTACACTGATATGCTTTTATATATCATGTCATGCAATAAAGTTCTGGAACATAAAAGTTCAGTGAAAATGTCTCAAAACCTTTCTCCTTTAAGGCAAAGTTTCTAGGTTTATCCTCTTAGTAGTACTACGCAACCACTTAATAAGGAGTGAAAATAAGGTTTCTAGCAGAGTAGAACTTTGTTGTTGTTGCATGAATAGTTATTAAACAAGAGGTCCGCAAAAGACATTTACTCCAAAGACCGGCACTTCATTACATTCCTCTCTCGTGTTGTGCTTCGACTGTGGCTGGTGGAATACTATAATACTAAAAATAAAGTTATAATAATAATAATAGTTATATAGTATATGGCAGATTAAAAGTAAAAAACAAAAGCTTCCCTCAATACTGATACGCTTCTTTGATTTAATGATAGTCAAACTAGATACGCCTCATTTAAGTGTTTGAAAGATATATGCCTTCTTCGTCATATGTTACAGCAAAGAGTTTCGACTCATTGAAATTCGTTGCGGCTGAGTGGATAGAGCGTGATTCTGCGACTCCCGAAGCTGTTTGAGTCCTTCATCAAACTGAAGGTAAGAAAATTACAATGTTTTATATCTCAATTAGTCTCCCTCTCCTTTCTAAATTAATCTCTTCAAAACGAATCCTTTTTTCCGTTAAGAAAAAAGGTTAAATCGTAACAAGTCGCTTGGGGACATCTTGGTCGATATCTATTATACTGCAACAAAAACTTGCATTTTTCTCAATTTTACTTAAATCGATGAAACATGATGTTCCACTATCCAACAAACGCAGCGCAAAAGACTCCTTTCTAAACTAATCTCTTTGAAACTAATCCATTTTTTCCATGATGGGAAATAGGTTAAGTCATAATAAGTCGCTTGCGTGGATCTTGGTCGAAATGTATTGTCATGCAACAAACTATGCATTAGTTCTAGTTTACGCGAAACTCCGCATTTACTCTATAATAATAACTCGAGACAGAGGATAAAATGCCGTTGCTTGAGGCAAATTTGAGTCATTTCCACCGTACAGAGAAACGTTCTCAAATAGAAGGAAACATGGGAAGAAAGTATAAAAGACAGAGATGTTCAAGAGTAATGAGGATAAATGTTCACAAACTGTCAAGCAAATAAATCGCGCACGATTAGTTTAAAGGCATCGCGTGCGAGATTTCGCTGCAGCTTATAGGGGAAAAGATCGATGATATTCCTCAAGTCCTATTTAACATTCTGAAAACCGAGCGTCCAATGTGTTGACAGGCTTTCTCACATTTCTTTAAACACCAAACTGTTCACTTGTTTAGATATATACATATATATATATATATATATATATAATTTTTCTTCTCACAAAAGTGCCCCTTTGCTCCAACGAGTTCCTAGACTTTCAATCCTCAAACATCTCTCGAACATTGTCAGAGAGTAGTTGCCAGGCCAGCAGAAACCATCACCGGAACTGTAAATGTATATTTTCCTTTGACACTTTACTTTCAGGGTTACGAGAAAATGAAAACAGTTGGATACCAGAAGTTATCAATCGATGGCGATTCGGAAAGAATCGGTTACGTTTCTTTTCTTTTATTCCAATGGATGAATAACATCTTCGAGAAAGGTAGCAAAGGAAGGATAGATGAGAGCGACTTTGAACCACTTTCAAGGGAAAACACCACCGAGGTTTTCACCAATCGCCTCCAAACATGCTGGAATGAAGAAAGAGCTGCTACAAAAGGCAGTGAACAAAGACCACAACTTTGGAAAAGTGTCATAAAAATGATCTCTTTAAAGGATGCAATGATCATTGTGCTCCTTTACTTGGCATCCTTACTTTGGCGCCTCTCTAGGCCTCTGTTTCTTGGTTACCTTGTTTCTTCATTGGTGGAAGCCGAGCCGCATAAAAGTTTTCTTTTGTACGGTTGGGTAATAGCTATGGGAATCTGTGCCTTTATTGGGGCGACAGCTGTTCATCACTATGGGTATCAATGTGATATGTACGGTATCGGAATAAGCAGTGCTCTGAAAGGACTAATTTACCAAAAGGTATGCAATTTAGTTGTCTATTGAACTTTTCTGACACTGATATTACACACATAACAAACCATGAGTCCTAACATATTTGACTAGCCAGCGTCATGTTTTGGCAGGATCTACCATCAAGGTTAGTTACAGGACAAAATTCTATACAACGATTGCATAAGAGTTGAGGTTAACGGCCCAAAATTATCCTGCAGTTAACTCATTAAATGATCATGAGGGCTCTCTTCCTTTTTATCAATTGTCATTAGCATGAAGAACAAAACGATTCTGACTCCTTTCCGTTGATTGGAGCCTTCGACATTCGAATTAGGCTGTCCAGTTGCCTACACCGAAATACGCCACTGAGAACTTGTCGATGAGTTGTGCCGTAAACTAGGTTTACGAGTGTATGGTTAAAATCACTTGTACGTTCTCCTTAGCCCAGCCGTGAAGCATCAAAAGATCAGAATGTTTGAAGGTAGAATTATCAAACAAGAACCAGAAGTTCGCTTTGTGCCACATTCCTGACAAATTGATGTCATAAATATCTATTAAATTAACGGGTGCGTTTCCCAATAATTAGCGACTATGAGCTCGAAAGGCTGAACAAATTTTGTATTTTCAGATTCTAATGCTCAAGAAGACTGAGTTATTGAAATTTACAACGGGCCGTGTGATTGACCTTGTAACCAACGATGTTCAGCGACTCGAAGAGCATACTGTCATTTGGGGTGTTAGTGCTCTTTTGGATTTCTTCCTACTCGTAACTATTATAGGGGTACTACTTGTGTATTTTGTTGGTTGGCAATCTCTCATGGGTGTCACATGCCTCTTTTTGCTTGTGCCATATTTCGCTGAGTTATCCTACGTCTCTGCTGTACTACGCCTGAGGACAGCAGCGTTTTCAGACAGCCGCATATCTATGTTGAACCAGGTTATTTCTGGGATTCGTGCCATCAAAACACATGCATTGGAGGATAAATTTCGAGAAAAGATTGAACAAGTTAGAAGGTAAGGAAACAATAGGTCATAATTCATCTCAAGTCGGTAGAGATACCTGGTACTTGTCACACCTGAAACAGCTTACATAATTAAGAAAATTACAATAAAGATTGCCATGCCATGCCAATCCATACCATGCTATAGGATGCGATGCCATGCCATGCTTTTATGACATTCAATCTCTAAATTCCTTTGTTTGCAGG